ACGGATACGATAGGTTATATTTATAAGTAAGTACGAGGTTCGAAGGTTATGGAAAGGCAGTATAATTTCATGTTGTGAGGCATTTCATCTTAGTCCTCAGAGGTAACAACGTTTCTTCTGTAGCCTTCATGGTTTGTACTAGTCTACAGGTATCCATGAACTGCAGTAATCAATTACCATCAGATGGGCTGTAAGTTCGTTAGTCACTTAAATTAAAAAAAAAAACAAGCAAACCAAACACAACAGGAATCAAACACGATTCCCGCCGGACTAATGAAATTATTTATTTTATCCTGCAGAAACCTGCATACCTGATTAGTTAAAAAATATTTTAAAGGGATTAGAAAACCGGCAACACTTATTGGGGTAGAGCAGTCGACTCTTGTCTTGTCCCAGAACACTAACGGTAATAAGAAGAGACTAAGAGCTCTGGCTAGCCGTTTTGCGCCCAGCTTTTAATAAGGATTCATATTTTAATAGCTATGTATTAAGATATTAGTAACACAAGCGAACTACTCCTAAAAAAGACGTAAACACAAAATTTTACTTATTTTATATATGAGTAGGTACAACAAGTGGAATTTCGAATCAAACGTGAAAATATAAAAGCCTGTTTAGACTGATGTCAATCAATAGAGCCAATCATGTGGATCGAATATCGTCGTGAACGAAGTCGATGAATCCATTCATTAGTTTGTAAAGAATAAATAAAAAAGTTCAATTTTGCGAATATAAGAATAGAACACTAACGATTTTTGTAAAGCGAAGTTCAACGAACCAGAACTGGAAAAGCTAATGTATAATAACTTTAATACTTAATTTAAATTAAACACAATTCATGAGCATAATATATGAACGTACTTTTCCCTACACATATTATTCAAAATAAAACTTATACCAAGATACAAAATCAAGTACCACTTTCATTTGTTTCTTTTTGAAACTACGTAAAGTAAAAATGCATTAGGATTTGCGTTGATGTTGCGTAAACGTATTAAGAAACATAACTATTTTAGTTTTCCTTAGTTTTGGTTGTTATTATTATCTATCAGCTTATGAAAGCCAACTGCTAGGCGGGAGCGAAGTTAAAAAAATGTTGTCGAGATAGCGTTCACGCGGCGTTAATGCAAATTTTCCTGGAAACGCGAGAACGCATCTGCATTTTTTCTTAATTGTGAATAAATGTAGATTTCTATAGGCCACAGTATCCACTTACCATCAGATGTACTTTATAACCCTTATTCCACAAAAATAATCATATTCTTTCTGCAAAATTACCACAAACGCAAAAGCATATCTCGACATATCGCATGCGCTCAACATAATACAAAACATAGTTACGACAAAGAAAACTTTACGTAGAAAAGAGTCGAACTCTAGCTTTCACAGAACAAAACTAACAATTTACGCTGTTGCCCATTACTTGAATATCGTATTTAAGCTTAGCCTAGGATTCAATTCAATTAAAACAGAAGAATTAACGAGAGTTTGTTACTAGTTTGATATTTTGTTATGTTCTACCGTGCTACTAAGCTTTTAGTCGGTATAATAAAAGCGGAAATAACAAGGACCTGGATATTTCATCCACCATTTATCGGATGCTATTAAGCCTGCCATTTCAAACATTCACCTCTTCTGACCACCACGGGGCGAAATTAAATGATAGACTCATCGCGGCTACATACATCTTAAAAAATATGTACTATACTAAAGCTATGACCGCCACACACTGCATACGGAATTCCGTTTCGGAATTCCGAAACGGAACGATATTAGCTTTAGCGGCCCTGCAGGGCGCGAGCCCTGAGACAGATGAAACTGTAAGAGTCGCATAGACTAACAGCAATAACATCTAGATACTAGAAACGGAACGAACGGTTCGGCCACACACAGACGGAATGCCGTTTTGCCCGCAAAATTCCGTACGGAAAACTACCGTAGGTGTGTAACGGGTCATTGATTTTATATGGACTTGCTGCATTCGGAATCCCAAATCGGAATTCCGAAACGGAATTCCGTATGTGTGTGGCCGGCCTTAAAGTCTCACTGCCCGCGGTGCAATAAAATAGGGAAACAGGACGCCGCCTATTGCGATTTGTGCTCTCTACCGCACTTACGGGCCTTAGGGCAGGCCTGCCTACTGTTACTCTCATCAGCTCTTTAACCTAAATACATGCTTGTCTAAGGTTGGTTCACGACAGTAGTCGATTAGGTAATTTGAAACGATGGGGTAAATCTAAAGAGTTTAAAACAGTCTAAACAGTTGCAGAAATATTATACTTTTTACTGAACAATAATATATATAAAAAAAAAGTATATATGTAGTTAATGCCACGTATTTTAAGGAAATTTCCTTTCTTTTTTTCTTTATTAACTCGTTATTTTCCACTGCTGGACATTCGATCTTCTCCAATGTAGGAAAATTTTCTTTTATAAAACTGTAATGAATTAAAATTTTATTTTAGTAAATATTAAATAAACGTTTTATATTTTTATTAAATAAACGAATTTGTTTATTATTAAATTTTTTTTATTATTCAATATTTTTATTACATTCAAAGATAATTAACCATAGTTACGCAATACATTTTTATACTTTGTCTTACCTATATACAGGGTTATTTTTCAAAGAGTAGCCAAATTTTAAACTTAAGTTCAAATATATAAATAATAAAATACCGTTATTGCAGTTTTTGAAAATACGAGTAAATAAGGCTTCTACTTTTATTTGAAATTATCCCAAATTGAATGTGATTTACGGGCAACAACGCTTTTGCCTACTGATCGACCCTTACAAATGTGTGCGTTCGCAGTAAAATCAGTTAAAATAATGCATTAGCACGCATTTTAAATTGAAAAGATAAAAATGACAGCATATTTAAGATTTTCTTTTATTAATGTTTCTTCACCATTTGTGCTTATATTACATTTTCTGAACCTTCTGTGCAAATTTATCCCCGGAACAATTACTGGGGGGCCATACAAATACTTGTTCCATGATTCGAACCCACGGTCCTCAGTGCTTTAACTAATTTCTAAACTACTGCGCCACTGAGTCTTCAAATAAAGTAATAAACTTACAGTGTGGTCCACCTGATGGTATGTGGCTACTATATATTATAATAGCTCTCTACACCTTTTAGACCGCTACATCGCGGCGTGTTATTTAGCGCCAGAAATAGCTAAGAGATTGTTGCCACCCAGACGAACTTCTAGATAGAAAAATAAAATTTGTCCTAACCGTCACGTTTAACAGACTAATTCGTGATCGCAATACCAGCTATACTACTATACTATACTATACTACCCAATATCTAGGGAGGCTACAAGGGTTTTCCATAAAAGTAAAGTAAAGTTACAGCTTATATACGTCCCACTGCTGGGCACAGGCCTCTGCTCATTTCTGAGAGGGTTTTAGGGCAAGGAATTGTCCGCCGCGCTGCCCCAGTGCGTGTTGGCGAACTTCACATCTCTTCGAAATATTTTTTTTCCTTATTTTTCTGACACGCAGGTTTCTTCACGATGTTTTACTTCACCGCCGAGCATGTGGTAAATCAGCACTTTAAAATTGCAATTAACAATTTCATTGGTGCCGGCGGGGATCGAACCCGGTTTGCTCGCGTACTACAGCGTACTACAGCGAGCGCTAACCATCTGAGCTACCACGGCTCAGATGGTTTTCCATATTCATCTCTTTTGTTACACGTAGAAAATATGAAGCATTAAATGGAGAAAATATTTACTTTATACCGTCATAACTTAGCATACAAACAAAACAAAGCATTTTGAGTTAAAGTTTACGTAACAGCCAGTCAATACAGAATTCCTGTAGAACATTTCCTGTAACACGATCTCACGATTCGTTTTCTTCATAACGGCTTTTATCTTTACAAATTTGATATAATAATAACAATATATTTCGTAATACATTTTATTATTAAAGTATTAAAGAGGTGAAACATGATCAGGGCTGTGTCTGCTAAATATTGAAAGTTAATAGTTTACAATTGCAGGGAGTCGATGATCATCAGTAATTAAGAACTGCGTTTTATGTTTTTTTAGACAATCAACGAGTACACAGTCTACCTAATGGTAAGTGGATACTGTGGCCCATAGATATCTATCTACATTTATCATCGATTAAGAACCCCTGAGGACTAAAATGGAATGCCTCTTATCCAGTAAAAAGGTTCCTCGGTTCTCTACACTCACACACACACACACTCTCACTCTACACACGCATAAAAAAATTCCGTTGCAGCTCGGTAGTGAAGTGTCTAAGAGTTTGGCTGCCTCACTGCGGGGACACGGGTTTGAAATCTTAAAATATTATATCTATATATATCAAGCCTTCTACTAGATAGAGTGACGTCCTAGTAAGACATGCAGGACTTCGATAGATTCAGGTAGCTGAAGGCCATGTTTAGTAGCTTTCTTTGTGGGAGGCCTATGTTCAGTAGTAGACTTGTAAAAGTGATAATGAAAAACACTTGACTAAAATTGATGAATGTCTCGCTGGTCAAGTGGTTATAAACGCGACTGATGGTCATGAAGTCCCGAGTTTAATACCCAGGTCGGGCCGAAAAAATCAGTTGAGTCTTTCTGTCAAGAAATTCTCAGCAGCAGTATTGAGTCAGGAAGATGGCGGTATTTCACCCCAGTGCCTCGATGATCCTGCGCCGGATCTTTCTGCGGTCGTGTCGCTTTGCGTTCCCATAGGAGTGAGGGAGTCCTCACTCCAACGGGATCGCAAACCGACCCAGTTCTCAGCCACTATAATCCTGTCCTGTGCAGATGGCTAGTCTGTGTTGAGGTTGTTGAGACTGGTCGCCGTGGCCGAAATTCGGTCTAGAGGGCATTACATAATATACAATATGGTTATTAAAAGATTGACAACCCTGCTTGATAATAATGACAGTATTATTTCACGTCGTATATAAACTGACTGGAATATATTTTCTACACGTTCATGGTGGTGGTTGAACATACAGATAGTCAAGATGGTGCTCAGTAAAAGTCACATTTTCTTTCTTGTAGCTTTGGTAAGAATCTTAAACAACTTTTATATTCAACATTTTTCCTAAACTTTACCACACGATTATTTCATTATTATTGCCTATAGATATGTTCAATTAAAAGTCATTATTCATGTATAAGAACCGTTGTAGCTCAGAGACTAAGCAATTGCTATAAATTTCACGGGTCGCGAAAAACCCGGATTTGATTCCCGCTGATACCAATGAAATGGTTATTTGTACACTTTGAGGTGTTGATTTTATCTGTGCTGCTGAAATACCATGTGCTTTAGTAGTGAGGGAAAATACTGTAACTAATCTGCACGTCTCAGGAATAAGAAAATTCGAAGACATGTAAAGTTTTTCAACACGCACTTAGCATGGACAAATTGCTCTATAACCTTCTTAGAAATTGGAGAACAAAAGATTTAATACTGAATTTTATACAAAGGCTGTTTTTGTATTAGTCTTGTATCTGAAAAAGTTTACATATTTTCACTTACACCTATAATTATCTATATTCATTTTAATGAGTCAAATTTTTTCCTAAATAGATTGCTGCCAACTTGATTTTCGGTCAAGAAACAACAAATTCACCTAATGATGCAACTACATCTGGGCCGCAACAAAATACACAAGTCGATGCCAACCAGGCTGGTGAAGGGGACGGCTCTTTTCATAACAGATTCTTTTTCTTTACTCGCTTTGTAGGCTGTAACTCAACCGCTCAGGTAAGCTTATCTTGTTGTAAGTAGGGGTTGTATACGACTGAACAGTCAAGCTGATGGTGAGTGAATACTGTGGCACATAGATGCCTTCATCTGCCCTTGATTGAAACAAAATATAAATGCGTTCACAACCCTTAGGACTAAGATAAAATAAATCAATACTCGTAGAAATTATCGCCAGTTCTCGTCATTAGTTATACAAATACAGCAATATGCTTCTATTTTAAGCTAATATCCTGTACCATACTTGTGAATGGTAATGCCCATGAGTCGTCCTGACTTAGAGCAGTAGCGTGGCCCTACCTCGTAAATAACAAATAATAATAATAGCTAATGATAAAGCATTTAATATTTCAACAAATTTCAATTTGATCACAAGCTTACAATCACCCCACTATAGAGCATAGACAAATAGAACATGGATCAGGAAAAATTTTACTCAGTAACAGTGACTTGTGTCTATAATTCGAAATGGCGAACAGTGTCCAAGAATGTAATAACTAAATTTTAAGCACGTTCTTTGCTCATTTTTTTCTACAGTTACGAAAACGCAGTAGATATTTTCGGTAGGAGTAAGTAACTTCAACATTACATCACAAGCTTTTTATGTGCAACAATAATTCAGTTTTTTACTATGCATTTCTCTAAATATGCCTAAAATCATCATGCTGATCAAGATCACTATATCATTGATTTTACTGCTCTTTGATTTAGTCATAAAAGCCGACTCTATGTCTTATTTGTAGTTGGCAGAAATTTAAAACAACTACCTATTTATAGGTTATATAACATTCAATGTGTTAGTACACTATCTATTTGTGGCGGAGAAATCAATATATTATATAATTTTTCTAGAAACAAAAAATAATCAGAAATACATCTGGATCTATGTAAAATCATAGAGGCCCTTAAATCGATAAAAATCTGAATCCGATAAATTATAAAAATATGATTCATATAAATTTCCATACAACGGAAGCACAGATTAGTAAATAGTTTAACGGAAGTTTTAAATCATTATAATCTGTCATTTATAACTAGTGTGTATTAAGAAAATATCATGAAGATTTATTTTAAAAAAATGAAAAATTACAAAACAAAGAATTTAAGCAGGAGCATCAGTTTAAATCTGTATAAAGTACGTAAAATCTTTATATAGGACGGCCTATCTCTTGACGTTGTCTATTTCATAACTGAAAAACACAGTAAGTTATGACGGGGTCTAATAATGATAAAAAATTATGAGTAAGTTATGATGTAATAATGTAATCCGCTATATTGTTTTCAGGCTGGACGTACTTGTGCCAGTTGTAGGCAAACTTTGCTTTGTTTGTCAAACAATATTGGAATATTAAAAACCTGCCATGGCTTTCTTCCTTACTGTAACGGAGGCCGTTGCTCTTACATTGGTGGTTCTGCTTGCAATAGTACGACTTCTGGATAATTTGTAATTTGAATATTTTAAATAACAATAAAGAAAACATATATTCTTAATGTTCAATTATGTTTTATTTTATAACCTCTATGTTTTAATTACCCTACCACACGTAATTTTTTAACTTGCAATGAAGGTGTTTTTCCTATACTTGACGGTATATCGATTTCTCCTACTTTTTATAAGCTAACTATGTTTATGTAACAACTCTGTGGTAGGACGTCTAGTCATTTTTTTTATAGAATAAGGGTGCCAAACGAGCACACAGTTCACCTGATGGTAAAAGGATGCTGTGGCCCATAGATATCTACATTTATCCTCCATTACGAATCAATGCAGATGCGTTGTTACCAACTCATCATAGCATGAAATGCTTCGTTTCCAGTAAAAAAAGGTCTCCCGATCTCTACACTCACCATACGAAACACAGCAGTATTAAGCCGCTATTTTACGCTGGTATTCTGTGAGAGTGTGATCTTTCTCCAACCCACTCGTGCTACAACCATAATATAGCTGCAGCTTGGCTCTACCACGTATAAATAGTCAACGTGTAGTCGTCTATGCGTGTGTGCTCCGACCTGAAGGGTATAAAGAGTATAATTACGTGTTGTAAGGTATTCCATCTCAGTACTCAGAGGTGACAACTTATCTGCGGCCTTCTTAGTTTGAAATTGGCTGCAGCAATCACTGGTCATCAGGTGGACTGTAAGTTCTTTTGTCATTTCGATTTTATAAAGGAGAAAGTAATCATTCACTCATTTGAGACAGTGTCATAGTGTATCCAAATATGCCAAATCCAAATCCCCTGACTGGGAATAGGGAATATCATTACTCTGGCTCTGCACTCTTAAAACTGCCTGCTTATCTTAGTAAGTGATTATTACTATTAAGAACTGGACGCTTTTTAACGTCTTCTTGAAAAATCCTACGTACAGGACAGGCGAGGGACTCTTAAAGGCTGACGATGAAATATACTAAAGCTTTATATGATTTTCTTTCTTATAGAAATATTGTATAAGAGTACTAAATTACCTACTAATTACCATTTCTTAGTATCAACTGCGTAATAAATTATTACTGAGTCCAATTACAGTCAAAAATGTTATTTACGAAATCCAAATTACTTTTTACACATGTGTGATTATTTTCGTTTGAAGCAGAAGCTGAAGAAAAGTTATTAATCCTGGACTTATTATTTTAATAGAGCACGAAACATTGTATAGTGGTGGCGTATGAGAACGACAGACGAAAATAAAACAGATAGGAACTCAAATAATAATTAACTGCAGTTGCTAACCGCCTATCGAGCGTGGCAACTATGGCAAATAAGTGGCAATCTGTATGAGAGGACTTTGTCATGGACTATTTTGATAGGCTTTAATGATGACTTGCTATCGAAGTATACTACTATTAGTAAGTAAATAAACTCATTTTCTTGGTTATTCAATAAATAAACAGACTTGTCATATTATCGTTTATTTACAGTTAACACTACATAGAAATAGATGAAGATATGTTCTTACGATAATATTTTTAAAATAGACATTGGAAATAGGAATCTACCGTATAATTTTTTTTAAATTATTAATTATTATCATAGTTACAAAGTTGTAAGTTGCCAATTTATTGTAAATACAAGAATATTTAGGCTCAATATAGATTAAAGTGTAATTAGTATATAACAAGCTAAAACTTTAATTTAAAACATGTATAATAATATAGTGTTTTAATAAGTTTTATAATTATAAAATATTATTTGTCAAACACAGCTTACTCTAGTCAGTAAAGAGACCATAAGAAAAGGTATAGAAAGAAATACATGAATAATTATCACAACTTTCTAATACTTTTTAATATTCTAACCAGAATCGTTTCAGAAATAAAATAAGTTTTGATGAAATTTAAAGTATTAATAAAATATTTTTTAGTTTAATTTCATATTCATAACATATTTATCATTTTATATTTGCGATTTGCAACGTTTCAAAAATGATTTTTATTTTATATAATTTAAACATCTTACTCGGTATCTTAAGTCGTAAACTGGCCAATGTCATTTAGTAGAGTTGAGACCTGTTGTACTCAGAGTCTAATCTTATTATATAATTTATATTAATACCTAATAAAAACAACTTCAATCACAACAATCAACATCAAAATCTAAGTAAATATTATTGTCTATATGCTATTTTCAATTAATTCCCTCCCATTCAAAATTACGAAATATAATCTGGTCTTATTACAGAAAGTAGTTTGTAAATATTATTAGTTTTAGGTTTAACAAAGAAATATACAATATACAGTTTTTTAGGTTAAAAAAGTGATTTTTCTTGAGAAAAACACTTCTATGTTACTTAAACCCGAGACGATCAACAAACTACGTTTTGTAATAAGGCGATCATCTTTTTAGCGTTTGCCGAGAACGATGCTGTGGAAATAGATAGAATACATCGTTTTAGGTAACACAACAGTTTTGATAGAAAAACTATTGTCCATTTTTCTCAGAATTAAGCAATTAGGCATCGCTTCGGCAGCCGCACAGCTATTGGTTCTTACGTCTACTGGGAAGGCTGCTGTTCCGGTAGTTTTTCCTTAGCATTATGTTGTCGACTGCAGGTAAAAGTAAATATCTCTTCCCGGATGAATGGAACGGGACTTTCAGTGACCTAAAATAATAGAACCTTGGAACATTCTTCGAGTTTGGCTGCCAGTTATTTTTAGTAAATGTTTCAACAGAATTCGAAGGATTTTGTGAGAGGGAACTTGACGATGCTGGAAGGTCATTTAGCGATCGGTGGAGGTACCGGCCGGTCGGGTGCGTGTTAGCAAGTATTGGCGGCGGCGGTAAGTCGGCGTCGTTTGAATCGGCTGTTGCGTCAGCTTCGGGACTATAGAAATATTCCCTATGAACAAACAAGGCACAAAGTAAAATATTAGTACCTGTTATATTTATATAAACACCTATTATTTAATTTCCAAACGATACGTTAAATAACGCCATATTTTTAAACCGTCATTTCTATAAAATATTAGTAGTGTGGCGGCGCTGTCGCCGCGCCGCAAGCGAAACATACCGAAGCCTAAATCACGCTATCAACATTCCGAATCATAAACAGCATATATAGAACATCTCCGAACTATCACACGGAGTGTGAGCCGCTCCCCGGGCAGAACACCTTGCCCGGTGGGAGATCTCCTTTCCTTCTTCCACGGTCAGAGTGGTGACCCCGACGTGATCTGAACATGCACCCAAAACACCTTCGGAAACTACAACTTTCAAGCCTTCGTCATTATCCTCAAGGACCCCTACCATTCACTACTGAGAATCGTCTTCTGCAGTCTTCAGTTCCTGCAAGCCAGTCCAACTTGTCTTCATCTCGACTCACCGCAGATTTATAAGACAGACTTCTGGCACTTGCCCCGGCACATCGTTCTCACCGGCATCACTTGCCAGTGCGTAGTACGGCATGCATTACACATCGGCATATTATTCGCACCGGTGTCACTTGCCCTTACGCACACAGCATGCATTCCCCACCGGCATTAAAAGGACACACCGGCAATCGGACTGCACTATCGACCTCCGGTCTGAGCAGGGGGTGATGTGGCGGCGCTGTCGCCGCGCCGCAAGCGAAACATACCGAAGCCTAAATCACGCTATCAACATTCCGAATCATAAACAGCATATATAGAACATCTCCGAACTATCACACGGAGTGTGAGCCGCTCCCCGGGTAGAACACCTTGCCCGGTGGGAGATCTCCCCTTTTCCTTCCACGGTCAGAGTAGAAAGCTCTTGCTTTTACATCACGAATATAAAATTTATAGTGGTGGCTCAAAAATATTCATTACCACTTATTGTCTAATAACTGGCATATGGTGTAAGCGTATGCAAAAACAAATGGAAGGAAATACCTGGAATACTTTATACTTTGATATAGAAATTGAAATAGAAATAGAAATAGAAACTTTTTTATTCAATGTAGATTATAACAATACTTATTGAAAGTCACTTTTTTAACCACTGGTTCGCAAAAAAGAACCAGCAAGAAACCCAGCGGGACTATTTTTTTTTTCAATAATAGCTTACAATCATGTTTACAATTGACAACACACGACTAATTAGAAATAGCGTGGTAGCGATCACCGATATAATCATCAAATAGAAGCCATAACCATCAGATAGAAGCTTATATACCCATTTCTTTATTTTATATATTATAAGTCTTCTCCCGCTTTTTCTTCATAACCCCATAACTGTCCACGGCTAGATATTATGGACTTTCTAATTGTAGGTAAGATTTACCTTAATCGCCGTGCTTAAAAAACTATGATTGCTGTAACAGATGTTCCATGCAATGGTCGTAAGATGCGACTATGGAAACACAAGTAGAGCTTCTGAGAAGTGGTGGTATAACCATCTCATCAGTTAAGGACAATAGGGTCGAAGGTGCGACACGGCTGGTACTAGCGAACATTTAACCGCTTTCCAAGCGCGATGATTAAAGCAAACCCTCCCTGCAATGGGACAGGTGGATTAATACAGTTTATTGTCTGGGGCTACATTCCCACCTTCCCTCTGCTAGGATTGACGTCAAGCATTACTTTATAATCGGTTAAAACTTACAACACTTATAGACAAGACATAAATAAAAGCCCTTACCTAATTCCGAAATTCTCGTCAGCGGAATGCTTCCTGAAAAAATAAATTCGTATTAATACACTTAAATCTTTAAGTAAAAACCCACATATCTTATCCGTATCCACAATATCATTGTTACACCCATATAATCAAGCGTCTTAAATCTATTTTCATGCGATAACAGCGCGTATATTCTAGTAGGCTTTAACAATCTTGATCCCTCGCCACCTTGCCTGTTTAATTTTTAATTTGAAGGCATACTACACGAGAATATTGCTCTTAATCAAATTATTGAAACCTAAACACCGATCTGCATTTCTATTAGTAATTATCTTATACTACCAACAAACATGCCATTTTGGCTTGCCAGTTACTATTACGCGTTATCCCATATATAAAGCATTTAAGCACATAGGTCTACTGAACAAATATTTTTCTAACACAATCTATCACATCGACAGTTGTCAAATCCTATCTTTACAAGACCTGTTTAACTCCTGACTAGGTAATAACAGTCTGGCTCTTCCAGATCTACTATAACGACTTCCTGAGAATCTAAAAGAGGGCAATAGACCTAAGCGGGCCAAAGACCCAATATGGCGTTTTTCAAAATTATCATGAACTTTATCTTTATCTGTAACAGATTCAATAAATCATATAAAATTAACAACGTATTATTATTCTGACATACACACAAATAAAACCACATTAAACTCACCTACGGATCGTTTGTCTTCGTATCATTGTCATGAGGCATGGTACGCGTGGGGGAAAAGAAAAGATACGTCTTCACCGTACGTCGGTCGTTTATTGAGTCCCAAATACAATCATTTCTTATAAAATCTAACTTATGCTAAACGCGCTTGCGCAGCAGAGTCACACGGGACTCGCGCATGAAATATAAAACTTCTAGGTAATGCACTACATCTCCCCCTAAAAGTAAGGGGTACCTCACTACCCTCTTTAGGAAAAGAAAAAAAAATTATTAGTGTACATATAACTTAAGACTAATAACATAATGAATGTATAGGTACTTATCTGAAAAGCAAACATTTTTTTTTATTACAAAGATAAACATTACAATTGAAATGGCTTTGTGTTATTTTTATGTAAAATAATTTCTTTGTTATTTTTTAGAAATTTTACATTAGGTGGTAATTCTTCCAAAACTTTATAAGGTCCTTCATACAAACAATCTAATTTGTTACCTGTTTGGTTTTTTATTAAGATTAAATCTCCTGGCTTATATTGTACTTTATTACATATTTGATCATACTTAATTTTTCTTAAATTTTTACTTATTAACAAATTTTCCTTAGCATCCAACTGTGCTTTTTGTAAACGGTACTTTAACTCCTTAGGGTAATCATCGAAATTATACAGTGGGTCAACATGTGTTGATAAATTACTAGAAATATTACAAATTTTGCCGAAAACTAGTTCGTATGGAGTATATTTTGTTTTTGAATGAACGCTTGTATTGTAACAAAAACACCAAAAAGGAACCCATTCGCTCCAATCTGACTTGTTATTATTGCACTGAATTCTGAGATAAGCGCCTAAATGTTTATGTGTATTTTCAATTCCTCCTAAGGTTTCATGATGATAAGGCGTTGAATGAATTTTTTCTATATGTAGCAATTTGAAAACTTCGGACATAAGTGATGAGGTAAATTCGGTCCCCATGTCACTTAAAATTTTTCTTGGAATTCCATAACGCAAAATAAAATTATTAACGAAAGACCTAGCAATACTTTCACTATCCTTTCTAGGTAAAGGATAAGCCTCTACAAATTTGCTTAAATCACACTGGATTGTTAAAATATACTTATTATTATAGTTATCTATATCTAAAGGGCCCATAATATCTAAATTAACCTGTTCAAACGCTGAGTTAGCAGTTGAAGTGATTGTCAGAGGATCTCTAATATTTCTGTTAGTATGCTTTTGAACTTGACAACTTTTACATTTGCGGACATAGTTCATGACGTCATTGCTCATACCTGGCCAGAAATAATATCTTTTAATATTATTTAACATACGATTCATGCCTGCATGACCACTTGTTGGTAACAGGTGAAAGTCATTAAGCACCGTGGTAATTTCTTCTTTATTATTTATTCGCTTAATGTCTTTAATAATCAAAAATCGTGGTGACGCTATTTTATACATTTTTATGCTGCGCAGCAAACTCTTAATATTTTTCTCATTACTCTTGTTTTTAATTATGAGTAATTCTTTTATATTTAATTTTATGCACATTTTTTCTAGATCTCTCGCTAACTCTTCTAGAGACGATAACGATCGAGAATATAGGAATATGGTCGATAACGACGGGTTATACGTGCAAAGTTTAGCGTCGGACAAAATATTATACGCATTATTCAAATGTTTTTCGTTACTATTTCCTGGAAAACGCAACTCTATTATGTCATTGGGTCGTTTTAACAACTCTACGGTAGTAGGTTGATCAGGCCTACTAACTGGAGGCTGTTTGTCTATCTGTCCGGTGTCCGTTTGGGGCTCTAACTTTTTCCTTTGAGCTCTAGTTAAAACGGATACTACTTTTTCCTGCATTTCTTTCAAATCGCGTGACGTCACCGGGAGTCGGCTTAACGCATCTGCAGCTGCGTTATTTCGCCCTGGGACGTATTCTACTTCGAAGTCGTATTCTTCAAGGTATAGTCGGAATTTTGTTAAACGACTAGACGGGTCTTTTAAACCGAATAAGTAAACAAGGGGTCTATGGTCCGAAAAGATTTTAAATTTTCTGCCGTACAAGTAAGGCCTAAAGTGACGGACTGCCCACACGATAGCTAATAATTCTAATTCTATTATTGGATATCTAGTTTCTGCCGGGTTCAAACTCCTACTAGCGTAAGCGACAACCTTTCCATTACTATTTGAGAGTACGGCGCCTAAGCCTAACTTAGATGCGTCTGTCTGCAACTGAAATGTGTTATTTTCCGAAAAGTCGGGATAGTCCAACACTGGAGGGTTCGTTAAAGCAGATTTTAATGTAATAAACGAACTTTCGCAATCTTTAGTCCACTCAAATCTAATACCTTTTTTAGTTAATGCATTCAATGGGAACACAATATCAGCAAAACGTGGAATAAACCGACGTTTTACTTCGTCAGCAGAAGTCGGGCGTGGGTAATTACGTATGGTGTCAATTTTACTGGGATCTGGGAATATTCCGTCTTGAGTAATTTTATGACCTAAATAGACTATTTCTTTTCTTAAAAATTCGCACTTAATTGGGTTTAGTTTGAGATTAACTTTTCTTAATCGATTCAATACGCTAATGAGATTTTTGTTATGAATATCGATACTAGAACCGATTACGACGCAATCATTTAGGTATAAAAACATTTTTCGTAATTTAGGCCTGCCATGGCTATAGTCATCAGCCGAGAAAAGACACTAGCACTTGTCTTGAGACCCATTGGGCACCGCTTCATTTGATACTGTTTTCCTGCCGTAAAAGTAGTGTACTTTCGTGACTCATTATCTAAAGAAATCTGATACATTTTATTTAATGTAAAAGAAGTATATTTACGGGAACTTGGATTTAAGGACAATTGATAATAAGATCGGGAGAGGTCTAATTTTGAAAAATAAATACTGCCTGACAATGAATCAAGTATCTCCGTTATATTGGGAAGCGGAAATTTGTCATCTTGAATTCGATCGTTTAATTTCCTGTAATCTATGACCAATCTCCATTTTCTTTCGTTATTTTTATCGACCTTTTTGGATACTAAAAGTACTGGGCTAGACCATTCCGAAACGGTTTCCTCAATGATGTCGTTTTTTAACATTTCCTGAACTTGTTTTTCTATCTCACCTTTTAACGCCTGAGGAACCCTATAAGGCTTAGAATAAACTGGGGTCACGTTATCTTTTAAAACTATGCTATGTTCCATTAAGTTCGTAACTGATAACGAATCACCTGGTAAATGGAAAACATCTGCGTATTTGGCACAGATTTGTTCAATACTGAGCCTTTCTTCCCTATTTAAATAACTCAAATCAAGTAAATCGAATAAAGTTTTTATTCGCTCAACAGTTTTTTCTTCGCTTTCGAGGTGGCATACCTCGAAGTTACTAATGGAATGGACATTGACCTTTGAAAAATCTATCTCAATATCCTCATTTCTCGTATTCAACACTCTAATAGGAATACTTTTATTTAATGGTTTAGCTAACATTCCTGCGATAAAAATCCCTTCCTCAATTTCTTGAGCTAAAATAACGCTATCTTCGCTTAAAGTGCAAGGAATATATTTGATAACTTCGCAACGGGCGGGTATGACGTGTCTATACCTATCACTCCATCTACCCATATTAAGACAAACTACGGAACCCTGATTCGATAACTGTAAGGTTCGTGTTTCGTAGTTGATTATCGCATTATAACGCTTAAAAAAATTATCGCCCAATATACCGTTAGCAAAACAAGAGAGATTCTTAAAAACGTAAAATTTCTCTCTAAAAGTTATGCCATTACAAACTAAATCTAAGTAAATATAACCGTCTGAAATTAATTTACCACTAACGCCCTTAATTGTTATTTTATCATAATGTAACTCATTCAAATACTCCTGGTTATCGAGGAGCCACTCATATTTCATAACACAAATGCTCGCGCCCGTATCTACTAAAAGACTTACCTTGCTATTATTACTTACATTTAAATCTACTACATTGTTTATGCTATAATTACAAACGAAATGATCACTAATTGTAGGGGCGAAAAAACTCACTATTCTGTGCAGATTGAGTGCGTTCCACGCTCTCAATGTGCTCCGATTGCATCTGAGAAACGCGGGCGTTTACATTTGGGCGAGATGGGTTGTACCGACCTCGGCCTCGCGAAGTACCCCGTTGGTACCTACCACGATTGAGCCCTCGAGAGTTACCCCTGTAAAATGTCCTGGAATTCGATCCGCTTTGCGCTCTCTGATGGTTATAATTAGTATTTGAGCGAGCGTTATTAGGGCCTCTTTTATTTCTATTAAATTGATTGTCACGACTGCGGTAAATGTTCAACACATGCTCGTTACGAGCTGATGATGTGCTCTCGTCCAGCGCGGTTTGAATCGCTTCTGGAAGAGACTGGAATTGTCGGGAGGCTATGATAATGCTCAAACGCGAATCTGATAATCCGTCTGCGAAACGCTGAATCGCAATTTTCTCGTTCAAAGCACGAAGTGTTTCGTATTTTTTGTCATCACCGTCAGCCTGTGCTATAGTCAAGTTGACGAACAACTGTTCTAACTCAGAGCCGAACTTATTGGCTTGCGCTATTAAGCTGCGATCGCAATGCTACCGCGGATTTCTTCTGAATTAAGTGAGTGCGCATATCTAAAACCAAACTACTCACGGACTCGTAGCTAGATTTTAACCTCAGCTTGGCGCTAGGGGTCAGTCTAGTTTTCAAAACGAAATCAATTAATTGTTTTTTGCCATTTTCGTTAAGCATATCACTATACATCACAATACTATCTATCAGTTGAGTAGTAATATTTTCGTGGCCTGTCATTATTGGCAATAGGGCTATTGCCGTTTTTAAATCAAAGGCGCCCATGCTGGCTGAGTTATTGGAACTTTCTGATTCACGAGACATTA